TATATGATAAACAAGAGGTACTCTATAGAATTTAATAGTCTACCAGCCATAATCTGAAACTACATCAGATGATATGGAAGAGGGTATAAATCTAACATAATCATTCATGTCTCAAGAGCAGAAGAACCTCAGTCTACAAAATTGATTTAGACATTTCTATAAGGGTCTTTCTGAAAAGGAAACAATTCATTATTACATGATGGATGGACAGATAGGAAGAGATATCCATAGAGCTTGTTGATTAAGAGTTCATAATCTGGAAATCTGGATGAGTTCATATTCCTGCTCTTTAATTTTCTAGGTATGTGGTCTTAGTAAATTAGTTCCCTTACCTAATTCTAAGTTTCCTGTTCTGCCAATTGGGGATAATTGGACCTAGTTTGCAGAGTTATTGTGAAAAAGAGAATAGATCTTGGTTATTAGATATTTATAGGGCCTGTCAGTTAGCATTTTGCATGTTATGAGACATTCTTTTATGTCCATGCAGATAGCTTTTAGATTTTAGATGATTTTTACAACTAGCAACTGTGTGTTGCATGTTAGGCTCAGGGAGATTCCTTTATTTTATATCAACCTAAGCTGGTGAAATTAGAACTCTAAATTAGTTTGATGATATGTGCTTAAAGATATTTTTGTTGTTTCTGCTAAGGTCAAAAAAGGACACTGTTCTAAAATCACTCTGCTTTCATAGGTAAAATAGCTAGAGTCTCAGGCAGCAGCATTTACAGGAGGCCTCCAGGGTGGGATTGTATTCTAAGCAAAAAATATTCTACAGTTGAAACAGTATACACACCCTTTCTAGATTCTCTGACAGTACTTTCAAATTCTCTGACAGTACTTTCTTGCAATTTATATTATTCACCTTTGCAAGGTTTTTAAGGTACTTTGAGGGCAAACATCACCTTTGTGGATTTTATTAACAGTATTACTTTTTAATGAGTCTTTTGATGTCTCGTTCATTATAAATAGCCCATTTTCCCCAGAGATACTAACTTGCAGAACAAAATATTTGCATTTCATTTGAAACAAAACCAAGGGGTTGAATGTTTTAAATACAAGCGAATATAATTCTCCAGTGTCTAGAGAAACTGTATAATGAGCCATGTGTTTGCAACATATGTAGACAGATGTGGAAATTTTTTCTTTCTCCTCACATTTTGTTTTCTTTTTGGAAATAGGGCTTCATGTAGTTCAGGCTGGGCTTGTACTCACTATGTAACCAAGGCTGGTTTTAACTTCCTCACCCTCTTGTCTCTACCTACTGAGTGCTGGGTTTATTTGCATCATTATTATTTATTGGCATCAATTAGCAAATATCTCTGCCCAGAGAACAAAACCAATAGAGCTGGAGTTGAATGAGGAAGGTCTGTTAGGTTATTGTTGAAAGTAGAGTGTTTCTTGGTTCTAGCTTCTACTTAGATGGCTGAGTCTCTACAGATGGTTCATTCCCACTTCTCAGTGCCTTCAGTTTTTGCAATTAGCTATTATTCCCTTTTAGATAGCTGACTTTTCAGATCTTTATCCATAACATTGTGTTGATTGCTTGGCTGATTTTAGGTTTTCAGAGGTGATGGTTCCATGTGTCTGTGTCCTCCAGTCAAATAGCCTCTAGCTGTTGATAGAGGCACTGAAGTGCCATTCAGTGCAGGAATGGGCCTTCTGCTCTGATGGCTGTGTGGATTTTGTTTTCTCCCATTCCTCTCTTAGCCCTCCTTACCTGGGAACTGCATTTGTTTCTGGCCTGGGTTGCCCATATAGCTGAAATTGGTCTTCCTGTCTTTAGTCTTTCCTGTTTCAGTCTCAATGAAGGAATGCTTCAGTAATTTGAATCTGATTATTTGATTGCCTTGTTTAATATTATCTGTGGCTCCCTAGTGTCTTCTAGATACAATCTAAGCCTGTTAACTAAGAGCTCTGCTTTCTGCCTGGACCATATTGTGACAATTCCACTAGTGTCCATGCAGCACTGGCAACAGATCCTGTCTTTATGTGCCCCAAAGGGAGCTGCTTTTAGAAGATGATCATTTCCTCTCATGTTTTGATGTCTTTGTGAATGCCACTCCTTTGCTTGCCCTATCCCACGTGTCTCATAGCATTGCTTCTTAAGCTTGAGTGTGCTTTGAATCACCTAGAGGGCTTGTTAAGTAACCTAGTCCTGGACTCCACTCACAGACTTTTAGATTCACTAGAGGAGTAGGGTTAGACCTGAGAGCTTGTATTTTTAACAAGTTCCCCAGTGATGTTGATCTAGGTGGGGACCACAGTTTGAGTAGGAAGTGCTAGAGTACTTCATGTTATTAAGACACTTCCCTTACTGTTTTGAGATTGCTTGTGTGCCTTTCTTCCTTATGAGACCCTAGGCTTCCTGGGGATAAAAAGAACCTGTTTGTCTATCTGTATGTCCCTAGCAACATAAGGATCTGAGCTATTATTGGTATTCAATAAATATCTGTTGAGTGGATGCATGAGCATGTTGCTGTTTATGCAATGAAGTTTAAGTGATTTTGCTTCTTCTCATGGATCAGTATTTTGGAATATTTCAGCTTAATGGTGTGTGGGAAGTCATTTGCTCCTTCTACATGCCATTATCTATCTGCTCTTGAAATCACTCATTTAGTAGATATGGAACATGTGAACTCCCACAAAGTTTAGAAAATAGGTGGAGTATAGGAAGACAGAGCTCAAATTTGATAGAGCTCAAACTTTAAAATATCAAATGGACTCAAATTTTCTTTCATTAAGAATAGCAGAGAGCAGTATTTCCATATCTGTTGCAGTATAAGACATACCTAGGGATTTACTCAAGCTTGTGAGTAAAAGTGGACCCAACATAGTTTTCAGTATTTATGACATATCTGCTGGGGACTGTATGTGTTACAAAGGAGGATCTGATGGGGCTTTAGTCCTCCAGGTTGAAACCCATTCAAGATACTTAAGAATATTTGAAATGCCCAAACTATGTAGTACTCACCATGATTATCACAAAGATACCTATTTAAAAAAATTGCCCAAACTATGTAGTACTCACCATGATTATCACAAAGATACCTATTTAAAAAAATCCTTAAGTTACTTGGTTTGTTAAATCAACTTGAAATATACACTGGTAAGGAAAGGGAAAAAGATGAGAGTAAATCATCAGACTTAATGCAAGTGACTGAAAGACCCACTGTGTATGGGCTATGCAGTATTCATATGCCCCTCTCCCTTTGTTGTAAGACCTTTTTGGTCTTAGGGGAGTAAGAACTCTGCTTACTATCTTACGTTTTCTTGGAAGTGAGGGGTTGGCATTCTCATGGGAATAAATAAAAAATGAGAGACCAGGGGCTGGAGAGATGGCTCAGTGCTTAAGAGCACTGACTGCTCTTGCAGAGGACCCGGGTTCAATTCCCAGCACCCACATGGCAGCTATGAACTGTCCTTAACTCCAGTTCCAGGGGAATCCGAAGCCCTCTTCTGACCTCCGTGGCATTGCACGACATGGGTGCACTCACATACATGCAGGCCATACACTCATACACATAAAATAAAAAATCAAATATTAAAAAAGTGAGATACCAGTAGTGGCCCAATGGTCTATAGGGATGGAATTTTTTTCTTTAAAATTCGTTAAACTGAAAATGTATGTATGTATGTATGTATGTATGTATGCATATAGCCCTGGGGTTCTCTTGTGTTCACCTCTTAATTTCATGGAGGTAGCCTTTGGTAATGGCATTGTGGCCTTAGGGTAGATGAGAGGGGTGGAACAAAGCCCCATATGTTCCTCTCTGCATCACAATTTTTGGTTCTGTCCCCAAAGCATAGCATAGCTTTTGTTTCCTCCTCTACTGGGTTTCTGGGTTTCTGAGCACTTAAACCTTTAAGTTTGGCATGCTTGCCCTCTAGTGGCAGGTCTGATGTACCCTCTTGTTACCCTGTCGGTAGTGGTACCATGATAGTTTGTTCTACTCAGTTATTTAGTAAATATCCCCAAATCATACATGTGGAAGAACAGGGTCAGTGATGCTGACTTGCTACTGAGTAGGACCCAGGTGTGTGAGGTTTAAATGAGGAAGTTTGACTCTTGGATTTATGCAGTGTGAATTGCAACAGGAAAAAAGATTGAGTCAGGCGTAATGGCTAAGCATATAATCCGAGCACTCAGGAGTCTGAGGCAGGAGGATTTCAGTATTGAGACAAGACTTGGCTACATATTGAATTCCAAATAAGCCTGAAGTATATATAGTGTGAGACCATCTCAAAAAACCAAAAAGAAAAAGATTCTGTGGGTATAACTCTTGTGGGTTTTGTGCAAAGCTAAAAAGAATCTAGGGCTGAGGAGATGGCTCAGTAGATAAAGCACTTGCTGTGCAAGTGTGAGGACTATAGTTTAGATATCTAGAACCCATTTAATGCCACGTGGGCATGGCAGACTGCCTGTTATTCCAGCACTTGGAAGGTTGAGACGGGGTTCCTGGAGCAAACTGGCTAGCTCTAGGTTCATCCAAGAGACCCTGTCTCAATATATGAGCTGGAGAGTGATTGAGGAAGACTCCTGACATCAGCCTTGGACCTCCACACATGTATGCATGCATGTTCATCCCCACATGTACCCATACACATATAAACAATTATACACATGTGCCACATAAAAACCATATTATTTTATTAACCACTTAGCTAATCTAAAAGTATCTTAATATGATGAATAGTTGAAGATAAGAATGGTTGTCTTTTTCCGACCCATCTCATCACTTTGGAAAATTTTCATCATTTCTCAAGTGTTCAGTATTTATGTTCAGTTCTGTTAACTTTGAAGAAGACAAAAGTATAAAGCTTGATTTCTGCTTCCCATTATAGTTTATGTTGTGGTTACATTCTAGTTATGAGGCAGTTATGTTTATTCCCTTGGGGAAAAATGAAGAAAAATGCAAACTAAATTTCATTGATGTTATGTCTTCTACTTATCTCATGAAAGGTAGGCTCTCTGCACATCTCTTTCTTTCTTTTTTTTAAAGTCCTTTTCAGTGGAGAGAGAACTGCAGGACAACAGCAGTAATTACCTGGATGAACCCTGGAGGATAACAGAAGAACAGCGGGAGTACTACGTCAATCAGTTCCGGTCCCTCCAGCCAGACCCGAGCTCTTTCATTTCAGGTGAGAGAACATGGTGTCCTTTAACAGTGTTCTCATGTGAATAACGGTGAACATCTTGAAAAATACTTACTAATGGAATGAAATGACCACCTTCTCTGATTTCAATTTGTTTTCACCTTCTCTGATTTCAATTTGTTTTCCTCTAAGGTGGAATTCCTTAAAGAGTAGAAGTCATACAGATTAAAAAAAAATGGTAATGACATTGGGGAAATTCTGTTACTGTTTCAGAGGGGGTTATGTGGGAATTTGAAGGAACCTGGTCCAGACCCTGTACCTTGTTAACTGAAACAATTGAAATGGTAGATTGTAGCACCAAGGCACACCTTAACTTTCTTCCTCATTATATTGGAGTCAGAGCAAGGACAAAGTATAGTCTTATAACACAGGTCTCCATATGTTTTATGCTCCCTTCAAGTTCAAGTTCATGCCCATTTTCTTTGGCTCAAGACTTTCAAACCCTGGTTTTTGAAATTATGATATGGAAGGAAAATTGGCCAGCATTTCCCCAATGTCAGGTCTTCTGGGTTGTCTTTAAATATATGCATTCCTGTTGGGTTCTCCAGTAAAATTCAAGCTGAGAGGAATTGGTTTAATTCCCATGTGCCTACGTTTTATTAGGATGAAGACTAAACAAGAGTGAAATAGTAGAGTCTGAGGGAAAATGTATAAAACTTTCTCTTATACTTAATTTTGAATAACAACAGTGTGGTTTTGATCATTCTAAGCTAACAGTGAAGTGTGGACTAAGACTAATTTTCCTCTATGAAGTAAGGTATATAATTAAGACATACTTGTATGTGCAAATGAAAACATCATTTTGGTGATTGGTGGTAATGGCCTCATGGTAAGCAGAATAGCAGAGAAATAACAAATTAATGTTGCCATCATGATTCAGAAAAAACAAGCAGAAACCCAGATTGCATATATTGATTTCAAGGTCACCTTGTTCAAGTGAGTCTTTTCACAATATATACAGATATTTAACAAAATACAAACAGGTGGCTGCTAGAAGTGTTTTTTATTTTCTTTCAACTTTTTTATTTTGCAAAATTTAAAATGTAGATACAACTAGACTGGCTAGTATAACAAATCTGTGTATACAAGTACCAACAATTTCATCTGAACTCCCTCTCACTCAGGTGATCTTGAAATATAATTGTCAGACCATATAATTTGAAGAATATTTCATGGTGTATCTGTAGTTCTCTTAAAAATACAACCAGAATTCAATGGTACATGTGAAAAAAAAACCATGGGTTCTTAAATACCATCATATCTTCATAGTTCGAATTTTTCTGATTGTTTCATAAATTCCTTTTTAAAACATTTAGTTTGATCACAATGAAGAGGTTCATGGCAATTAGTTGATGTCTTTTAAAATAAACATCTTGGTGGAGATATAATACATATAATGTAAAATTCACCACTTTAACTGTGCAGTCAAGTGGTTTTAGTGTAACCGTAGACTATATTCACAATATAGTCAGTTTCAAACCTTTCTGTCACCTCTCTATACATGAGCCACTTGCTAGTGGTTACTCCTCATTCTTGCCCTCTCTACTTTCTAGTCCTAGTCGCAGCATATGAGGACTTCTCAGTTTGTGCACGTCAAATGGAACAACACTCATGCTGTCTCCTCAGCTCCCCCCTTCATCTGGTGACAGCTGGGGCACAGTTGAGCTAGCTATTGGCTTCCATATGCCTCCACCCAATTTCTCTGAAGTACTATGGTACAGTATCCTAATGTGTGAAAGCCAGGTCAAGTCTCTAGCTAGGGGTTTGGGTCTATTGTGCTTTGAAGAGAGGATCTGGGGAAAAACACTGACAGAAGAGAATATCTTGATGTCTTTGTTGCTATAGAGTAGCTGATAAATGGGCTTGCAAGACAGTTCTGGCAAATGTTTGATAAGGTGGTAGCCAAGAGTTGTGTGTCAACATTATTTACAGGATGCATTCAGGGAGAAGGCTCATTGGTTTATTGATACATTGCCTTTCTTTCTTAATTTTTGAGAGGAAAGTAACTATTGCTTTAAGATCCCTTATAACCCCCCCCCTTTTCCCTTTGTAGTGCTGATCTCCCTGTAGCCCCAGCTGGACTGGAGCTCGCTATGTAGACCAGGCTGGCCTTGATCTCACAGAGATGCAACTGCCTCTGCCCCCCACAAATGCTGGGATTAAAGGCATGTGCCACCATGCCTGGCTATTTTGGTTGTTTTCTGTTGTTTTTGTTTTTGCAGTGCTGGTGGTGGAACCTACTAGGGCTTTGCATATGGTAGGCAAGCACTGTACCACTGAGCTGTATTCCCAACTCTATTTGATTGTTTTAAGGCAAATTAGGAAACTTGTGAATACTCTGGAAGACTTTTGACTTTATCAGTTTAGAACAAAATTTGGGGCTTTAACTATTCTTTAACTGTATTAGAACTGAGACTTGAACCTGACACTGTTGAGAGCTGAAAGCATGAACAATCTCAGTGAGGGCTACCATTTCAAGTGCAGGTGAGACTTGCAGTTAAGTTAAATGTACAGTGGGATGATTGCCTAATTTCAATTGATAATAGGTAAGTTTATATGGAATAAAAATTCCTGGATAAATTCCTCAAAGAGTCACCAAGAGTTTTTAAATCTCATCAGAAACATTTCTCAAGATGTCTGTGTTATCTTTGGTGGGATTACTGCTACCATTTTTCTTCTTTTTGCTTATAATTCTGCCATGACTCTGTATTACTTTTCCATTCTTTAAATATAAATACTTGACAGATTTTTTTACCTAAGTAACTAAATTTGTCTCGTGAATTTTTAGTAAAATTTTGCAGTTTGGGTTGGAATTTATATGCTTTTTAAAATCTGTCATGAGCATTATATCATCTCTTCTTTCTGTATATCCTCTCAAAAGCTTTAACTATATTCTTTTTATCTTTATATTTTATTTTTCTCATTTTTTCAACGAGGGGAATCAGTCTTTGGGCCTCATGGGTACCAGGCAAGCCATATGCTGCTCTTAGTCCTGTGATTTGTAGTTGTTTTGAGGAATAAATATGTTTGTGGTTAAATGGTAGAGATTGCTGAATGAAAATTGGTGATTCACTTGCACATAACATAAAAGCTGCTCTAGATAAGTAACTAATGACTTGTTTAAACAATGGCTCTTGACAGGGTCTGTGGCAAAGAATTTTTTCACCAAATCAAAGCTTTCCATCCCAGAACTGTCCTATATATGGTAAGTATGCTTGCTGCCAAGCAGAGCCATGCTATCATATGTACACATCCTTTAGCACCTTTGAAAGTCTTATTAAGGTGTGTTTTTGTTTGGAGACAACGTTTCACTCTGTAGCCCAGGCTGACTCACAGTGCAGCCAAAGCTGGCTTCAAAACTTACAGCAGTCTTTATGCTTCAGCTTTTCAAGTAAGTTTTTTATAATTCATTTTTTTCTTTTAATTCATTTTTTCTTTTCTTTTCTTTTCTTTCTTTTCTTTTCTTTTCTTTTTTCTGTGGTGCTGAGGTTGGAATCCAGGGCCTCACACATATCAGGTAAGTGTTCTCCTGTTGAGTCACACTCTCAGCCCTGAAAGTTTTATTTATTTATTTTTTAAATCAGATTTTACGTGAATAAAACTCAAGTTTTTGTTGCTCTGAAGATTAAATAAATTATCATTTGAAAAACACAACTACACTATGCACTCTAAGTGTTCACTACTATTTTAAAAGTAATTTTCTGGGGTTGGAGAGATGGCTCACTAGTTAAGAACACTTGCTGTTTTTTCAGAGGACCTGAGTTCGGTTCCCAGCACCTACATCAGGTGTCTCACAACTGCCTGTAACTTCAGCTCCAAGGGATTTGATGTCCTCTTCTGGTCTTGAAGGCACCTGTACACACATGGTACACACACATATGTATACATAAAAATAATTTCCTACCTATTATTTCCTTCTCAATTAGTTTTTCAGTCTAGGTAATTATGCACATGTGAGGCATTCTGCCTCATATATTTTATTTTCAGGTTTACTTGGTGTGAGGCAAGTAGCCAGAAGACCTTGAAAGACTATTCTTTATAATATTTTTATAAGGCATGGTGAACAGAAGGTCCAAGAACATTTTGGAATGAAGTTAAATTTGGCTATTCCAGCCGCCTGTGAACTTTGTAAACTTGGCAGGTGTTTTGCAGCTGGGCACCAATTCAGCCTTGCAGCTGTAGTGTCTACTATACCTTGTTACTGAGGCCTGCTGTGGTTCTAGCTCCAGAAGGACTGTGCTGGGATGGTCCAGATGATCCCGTTTGCCTCTATGAAAGTGGTCGGCACTGTAAACTGCTACATATGTGGGGGTTAATTCTTTCCCAGTAGATCATGCTGTTAAAAATATATAAATCAAAATATTAGAATAGTTATGTATTTATGTAAAGCTTTTTTCATGAAGCATTTAAAAATTATGATAGCATATACAATTGCACATCATATGTTGTACATCTCATTTACTACCTCAGTAATACTTGTGCATGCTAGTGTAGCTGGGATTCTGAACTGGATATAACTTCTTCAACCATACAGTCTGGCATAAGTTTTTATTTTACAACAAGCCTTATGTTAGATTTTAAGGCTGGGAAAAAATGACCGTTTTGAACAGAATACAGTCTGTTTTGGCAGAACTCTCAGTCTTCACATTATCATGTGAGGCTTCCTACCTTTTTGTTGAGACACAACCATGCAGGCTAAATGGCATTCTCTCCGTCCAGCATCTGAAGCATTTCCCAGACTCCTCAGCCTGGGGAGCAGCTGTTTCAGGGCTGGTGCATTCTGAATTAGAGCAGGAGGCTCAGGGGGAGTAAGAGGATATGAATGGTCCAAAGCAAAGTTACAGAGTTTACCTCAGAGATATTTTTTTTCTTTCTAATAGCAACATCTTTTCTAGTATGGTTTTATGTATTAAGTATACTTGTTTCTGTACACCAAAGAGATGTTGGAGCTTAAGGTGTCTTAATTCCTTTGGCAAGTGGGTTTCTTTTATACTCAGTGAATAGGTCTCTGTTTTCTAATGAGAAATGGTGCTGAAATGAAGCTCAGTGTTTTCCAGGCTGCCTTTCTTCCCATTTGTCATCTTTGGTTTAGCCCTTTCTAGTTGCTACTTTTTTTTCTTTTTTCTTTTTCTAGTTGCTACTTTTTTTTCTTTTTTCTTTTTCTAGTTGCTACTTTTATATTAAAACATAATTCAATCAGTGTTTTTTGAGTTTATTTATACCTTCCTTTCCCTCCCATCTCTGTCTTCATTTTGAGACAAGGTCGCATGTAACCCATACTGATCTTGAACTCTCTATTGTAGCCAAGAACTCCTGATCCTCCTGCCTCTGCCTCCCAAGTCCTGGTATTATAGGTGTGCACCACCATGCCCAGCTCCCTAAGAAATAATTCTTATGCAGAGAATAGTTCCTATAAAAATGCATACTGCTTGAAATAGCCAAGGTTTCACTTGAAACTGAAAAAATGATGTACTTATTATATCCATGCTCTGAATAAGCTCCTTGGTGCCTGGGTCTACCCTTTTTTGACTTGCTTCCAGCATTAGGTCCAGCACTTTTCCCCCCATGCAGCCTGCACTGAAACTGCAGAAAGGTATCACTTATTTTTTTGCAGTAGAGTTTCTTATGCCATGTCTCAGTGTTGTGAAACAGACTTATCTGAGAAACAGAAGAATTTAAATTTTCATTTACAAAGTGCTACTTATGTGAATGCTGCAGATCAGCTTGTTGTCTTCCTCTGAACAGCCCCCTGAGATTGTAAATGGTTTAGGCTAGGAAAGTTTGAGGATTCTGTAGGCTGTTGCCAGGAACCTGGGATCTGTGTTCACATGGTTGAGGCTGAAGTCTCACAGTAGGTACTCATGATATCTGCCATCTTTAGGGAACTCAGTGATGCTGATTGCGATGGAGCTCTGACCCTACCTGAGTTTTGTGCTGCATTTCATCTTATTGTGGCACGGAAGAACGGCTACCCACTGCCTGAGGGCCTGCCTCCAACTCTGCAGCCAGAGTACCTGCAAGCAGGTGAGACCTCATCAACCATCGTACATCTTAGTTGTTTTCCATGGAGACCTAATAATAAACTTTTGTTTCTTAAAATGGTATTCAGACACCATGGAGTCCTTGGCATCTGAAGTTATTTTCTTTAATGTGTATCAGACTTTTACATGTTAGAATGTGAGTAATGAGGCTGATGTAGGTAAGTGTGAATTATTTGTTCTTCTATTTCTGGTGGATTGGAATTCCTCTGGATGGAGCTAAAATCATTTCCCCTTTCATGACAGTCATGGAATAGGCAAGTACTGAATCCCGTTGTTGATATAAAATGAAAGGAAGGTCTTGTAAAGCCAACTGCCAGCCTGGCTACCTGAGTCATATCCCAGTACCTCCAAATGGCCTTGGGGAGGGGAATGAAATAGAACTTTTTTCCAGTGCTAGGAACTGAATGTAGGGCCTCACACATGGTAGGCACATGTTCTACCACTGAGTTATATTCTCAGCCCTGAAATAGGACTCTTATTCCTACCTGAAAAGTTAAAAAATGTCACACTGAAAAGTGCAAAAATACTGTAACCTTAAATATATGCTCAATTAATTTTAAAAAATATTTATGGTGTATGTTTGTGTGTGTTTGTGTGTGTGTATGTTTGTGTGTATGTATATTTGTGTACATATGTATCTGTGTATCTGTCTGTGTGTGCATGCACATGTGTGGGGGCCTATAAAGGCCAGCACAGGGTGTCAGATGCCCTGGAGCTGGAGTTACAGGTGCCTGTGAGCAGCTTGATGTTGGTCTAGATGCTGAAGTAAGTTCCTCTACAAGATCAGTACACTTAACTGCTGAGCCGTCTCTCCAGCCCACACTTAAGGAATTTGATGTGTATACATACATGTAACTACAAGCAAATAAATGTGTGTATAACATTCCAACAAACTATAGCATTGGAATATAGCTTTTATTTGTCTTTCTTCTTAATGAAACAGTCACCACCAAATGACTGTTTTGAATTCTTTGGATAGGAAAGAGTAATGGGGAGTCCAACATTTGTATCAGTTTTTTTTGAAGATTAATAAAATCAAGGGTTTCTTTCCTCTTTTCAAAGGCAGTGGATACTGGTCTGCTTTCGATTAATCAGAGAAGTACAATTTCCATTGAAAGGATCCAGAAGCAGCTGGTGTTTTAACCTTCCTTGCTTTTGAGGGAAGGGCTCTTAAAAACATGATTGCTTAGACCTGGGTAATTATTGGTAAGAAATAGAGAGGTCTAAATAAGTTATAACTACTCATTATTAGAGTACACACTCTAATTGAACAAAAAGTCCACACCATTTTCTGGGATCGTGGTCTTAAATCATCATAATAATACAATTCTAACTGAAAATATGAGCGACCTCTTAACACTCCATCAAGGTCAGTGATAGTATATTTGAGGCATCCTTAGGGGGTCTGTTATTTTCTAAGTACTTCATCACCCATGTTTTCATTGTATAAAGCTCAAGAGAAGATCAGAATCATTTATTTCTTTTTTGTGCTTCTAGACTTGGATAAATACGAGTGATCCTGTCTATTTTTTTGGTTCATTTTTGTGGATCCAATATCTCTCTAATTGATCTACATTTGACATTCTGAAAGATTAATTTAGTTTTTGACAAGATTGTCAAAGAATGTAAATATGGTTGATAGCTTCATGAATTTAAAAGTATAAAGTTTGTTTTTCAATAAATAAGGGAATAGGAATTGTATCTGATGCCATTTTACTTGAAATTAGAAATAATCTCCTTTCCCAAATTAGAGGACAGAATTGTAAGGCTACATTGGATTGTTTTGGTGGGAATATAGACTGGGAAGTTACAGTGGAGATGGAGAGATGTAGGCAGGGCCGAGAGAGATTTAGCAGTTAAGTGCTGTCATTTGTAGTTCTTGGAAAGTCTTCACTTTCTACATGAGACTGCCTTCCATTCGACCCCACATGGTATCTGATAGACTGGCCAGTAGTTTAGTACACAGTAGTGGTGGTATTTCTATCCTTAGTGGGCGCAGGAAGGTAAGTAAGGGTTAAAAACAATGTCATATTTTCATATTCAATTCAATTTTCTTAAAATGTTGCATTGAAATTTTATTTCCTAATAATGTGTCTTGACAGATTTGATTTATGACTTCTATTTATTATGTACCACAGTCTGCTTTTTCTTGTTGGAATATTAACAAGTTTTTTAGTCATTGTGATATTTCTTTCTTAATTACTTGTGACAAAGTGCTAAAGCAGAATCTGCTCCTAAGAAACAACCTGGCTTTTAGGTAATTTTCTTATCAAGTTACCATGGTTTTTCCTTATATTAATTTACTCAGCTTTCCAACTAACAACTACTTTTATCGTTGTATGTTAGAAGAGACCTGTAATGTTATTTCCTTGTTGCTAATCAGTAAGAATTTTTGCTTTTATTTTTTTTAAATTTTTAATTTCATGAAGTTATCTTTGGTATATATCACAATAGGATCTTGCTTATTTCCAACAATGTCCAAAATGAAGTATTTTCCAGTTAATATTCATTGTATTCAAACTACCTCAATGATTATTATATTTAAAAAATATACTAGTAGCATGGTTAAAACAACATAGTGTAACAGTGATAGCTAATGTGGAAAACTACCACCATATTGTTAAGTGAAGTGCTAAGAACAAGAACCCTTCAGCTGATCTGCTGGGAGTTCAAATCTCTGCCCTTCACTTTCCATCTATACGATCTTGAGTAAGTTGCTTAACTTCACTATTCCTCAGTTTCAGCATGCGTAAAATGGGAACAATAGAATTACTAGATTGTGTTTGTGAAGACCTTGAAATACTACCTCAACACAACTAGTGATGTAGGTAGTGTATAGAACTTTGTTGTTAGATTTAACAAGCACACAACCACTGATCAGAAATACTACTATGGCTATAGTCAATATTCTTATGTATTCTTTTCTTTCTTACTAGCTTTCCCGAAGCCCAAATGGGAGTGTGCATTATTTGATTCTTATTCTGAGTCAATGTCAGCAAACCAGCAGCCTCGTGACTTGAATCGGATGGAGGTAAAAACCAAACCAAAACAAAACAACAATTTCCTATGTTAATAAATAAATCAGGATGTGTATAGAAGTTAATCTTTAGCTTATGTTCTCCACAAATTCTGGAAAATGAACTTTATAGCATTTCATTTTCATAATTGGTAATTCGAGAATTGGCCTTTTAAATCTACACAATGAATAATATATATAATTTTTTTCTTCTTCCTAAATTGAGATTTTGTGAAATAACTAATATCTCTTGACCTTCTAGATATGAAATTTTGTGTAATGAAACTAAGGCAGATAATGGTAGCCAAGTTATTCACTTTAACCAGGCTTTAATTCCCTTGGTAATTAATCTAAATTTAAATTTTAATAGCTGACCATTAGTAAGGTTTAATGATACAGAAAAGTTTTGAGAAGGAGTTTGAGAACTGTATAAGTGGTCTGTGCTAGATAGTTTTAGTTGTCAACTTGACCCTCCTGGGAAGATGGAACCTCAGTCAGGGAATTTCCACTGTGGAATTAGCCTATGGTCATGTCTGTGAGGCCTTTTCTTGATTGTTCAGTGATGTGGATGATGCCACCCCTAGGCAGGTGGTCCTGGGTTGTATAAGAAAGCAGATTGAGCCCAGGCCAGGGTGGGCAAGCCAGTAAGCAATGTTCCTCCATCGTCTATGCTTCAGTTCCTGCTTCTAGGTTCCTGCCCTGCCTTGAGTTTCTGCCCTGACTTCCCTCAGTGATGAACAGTCACTTGGAAGAGTAGGATGAAAGCCTTTTCTCCCTAAGTTGATATTACTTAGCGTATTTTATCATAGCAATAGAAATGAACTAGAGCAGGAACTCAAAAAATATTCAAAGCTACCTCAGGACTATAAACTTTTAGACTAAATGATGACAGACTCGGATGATTCTCCAAAGAAACTCAGTAAATTCCCATGATATTGGGCCATTGATGGAGAAGGGCTTAGCCATGTGCTCAGTGATCTTTAGCTATGGGTTGATAAATAGGAGTTGCTATGGTTATTGTTATTACCACTGTCGTAATCATCATCATCATCATCATCATCATCATCATCATGATTACCACAATGAAAGTTTTTAAAAGTTTATTTTTCATTAAGATTTTGTATTGGCAAAATGATTATATATGCTATATATGAAAATTTTATATGTATGTAATGTATTTTGGTCATTTTTACCCTCTTTAGATTCTTTCCTCTCCCTCCTACTCCTGATGATCTCCTTCTTCCCAACTAGCCCCCCTAGTTTCATGTCTTTATTTTGAGGTGACCTAATAAATGTACTTAGGGTACTTACATGAGCAGGGGTGAGGAGTTATTTACAAGAGCAGGGGCATCTAACCAGTGGCTACACCATACGCAGTAATTGGTTTCACTATGGTATCTTCATACATATATGCCATTTCATATAATATAATGACCTCCAGTTTCATCCATTTTCTTGTGACTGTCATGATTTTACTTTTCTTTATGACTTAATAAAACTCCATTGTATTTACATACCATATTTTCACTGTTCATTCATCTATTGGTAGCATCTAAGCTAATTCCATTTCCTGGCTGTTGTGAATAGGGTAGCAATGAACACGATGTGCAAGTACCTGTAATGAGATGAGGGGTACTTGGCGTACATGCTCAGAGGTAATACAGCAGAGTCATGAGGTAGTTCTACTTTTAGATTTTAGATTTTTTTGTTTCTTTTTTGAGTAAAGGTCTCACTACGTAGCCCTGGCTGGCCCAGAACTCACTAGATAGACCAGGCTGACCTCAAAATCACAGAGATCCAGCTGCTTCTGCCTCCTGAGTGCTGGGATTAAAGGCGTGTGCCACCACAGTCATCTATTTTCAGATTTTTGAGCAACTTCACACTGAATTCCATAGTGGTTGCACAAATTTCTATTCCCACCAAGCGTTCCTCCCACCCCGTATTCTTCCTTGCCAGCATTTGTTGTCACTTGTTTTCTTGAAGATAGCCATTCTGACTGAGGTGAGATAGAATCTAAATGTAGTTTAATTTGCACTTACCTGATGACTAAGGATGTATTTGTATATTTTATTTTTAACATATCACTATATTTTGTTAATATATTTATTATGGAAATTGTTTGATAATTTCATACAATTTTGATCGTATTCATATCTTAACTCTTCCTAACTCCTCCCAGACCCATCCTCACTTCCCTATCCCCAACTTTTTGTGGTCTTTTTAAAAATTAAATAACCCATCAACTCCAATTTGTGTTGCCCATACATTCCTGGGGTCATCCACTGGAGTGTGGTTGACCTACCAGGAACCACACTCTTTTTTAAAACGTTATTTATTTAATAACCACATAATTGGAAGAAGCATTTCATTAAAACAGCATTGACATATTTAATAACAATTTCCAGAGATAAGATGCATCTCTTTCAAATTTGGCTGTCAATTTTTAGGTTTACAGTTGAATTAATACAGTTATACAATATCGTACTCAGTATAAACCCTGTAAGATATAAAATTGAATGAGGTTTTAACCTTTAAAAAAGATCTCCATTTCATTATAAAAATACACAGTTTCATACAGAAAAATTCATTTTCAACACAATTGACACTAAGATGTTTGCACGTGCGTTTCTAATCTCTATATATCTGATTATTACTAGTCACAGTCGGTTAATTTCTGAGCTCCTTGGCATCTGAGCATGGATATAAAGTCATCAGGTAGATTTCAATGGTAATGCTTTTCACACCTACTAATTATTATTTTTTTAATTATTTAAGGTTTTTTTTTTAGAAGCATTTCATTACAGCTTTAACATATTCAGTAACAATTTCCAGAGCAAGGATATATCTCTTTCAAAAGTGGCTGTAAATTTTTAGGTTCACAGTTGAATTAATGTAGTTATACAATATTGAACTCAGTATAAACCCTATAAGACATCAAATTGAATGAGTTTTTACCCTTTAAAGATCTCCATTTCATTTTAAAATATGCTGTTTCCTACATTTTTAATGCTCCTAACACTTAGATGTTTGCATATGTGTCTTTAATCTCTATGTAACTGACGATTACTAGTCAGAGTTGGTTACACTAGGATCCTTAGTACCTGAGTATGGATATAAAGTCATCAGGTAGATTTCACTGGTAATGTTTACCACCTCTACTATTTAACATGAAGTACATTTTTTTTAAATTATAAGTATTTTAAAAATTTTTGTTGATTTTTCTGTGTGTATATCATACAGAACATCCCACACAATCTTATTCATCTCTATACCCACTTCCCAAATGGCACCCTCCCATAGCCTCCCCCCTCCCACATACTGGAGCCCATGTACTCTGTCATCCATGTTACTGTCCACTGTGTTGTCGACACCCCCAGCCATTCTTCAGTGCTTGTCTATCTGCTGAATCTAGTCAGCCTATCTAGAGATCCTTGTTTTAGGAAGATTGGCTGTTCCTCATCTAGCAGCAATCAGTTGTCAATATTCCTTTAGATAAGATTGGGGTCTGCTGTTCATTTTCCCAGTTCTATTGCTGGGTTACTGTCTGGGAGTCTCTTGTGCCACCTTGGCCAATAACTCAAAGGAAGGTATCTCCTGTCTGGCATTGTTTCTAGGAACCACACTCTTAAGAAAACTTTCTTTCTTCTCCCCGAGAATCCACCAACTGTCGTGGTGTGTGTGTGTGTGTGTGTGTGTGTGTGTGTGTGTGTGTGTGTTTACAAAGTCTAAAGTACCACTGGTTGGCCTCATACTTGCTAGGATATATCTGAGGATAACCCTGAACTGCTTATCTTCCTGCCTCCATTTCCCACCATACCTAGATCTGTATTTCTTGAGAACTGTCTATTCAGTTCATTACTCTCTTTATTGATTAATTGATTAATTTTCTTGCTGTTTAATTTTTGAAGTTCTTCATAGACTCTAGATATTAGGTCCTTCCCTGATATGTAGTTGTCAGCATTTTTTCCTATTCTGTATTCTGTAGATTGTCTCTGATTTTTTAATTATTTATTTGCTGGGCAGAAGCTTTATAATTTCATGCCATTACATTTGTTAATTCATTTCTTTGTGATAATATGTATTGAAACCAGGGTCCTGTGCATGCTAGGACAGCATTCTGCCACGGAGTTGTGTCTCCAGCCCTCTATTTGTCAATTCTTGGGATTATATCCTGTGTTATTGGAGTCCTTTTCATAAAGTATTTGCCTATACCTATATTTTGAAGTGTTTTCTATATGTTTTTCTCTAGAAATTTTAAGGTTTCAGGTCTTATAATAGGGTCTTTGAAGCATTTTGTCTTGATTTTATACATGTGGATGTCCAGTTTTTCCAGGACCATTTCTTGAAGAGGCTATCTTTTATCTAATACATGTTTTTGACACTGTTGCCAAAGATTAGGTGAATGTAGTGCATGGTTTATTTCTGAGTCATTTATTCTATTCCTTTGGTCTACATGCTTACTTTAGTGCCAGTACCATACTGTTTTTGTTGCTGTGGTTCTGAGGTATGGTGATGCATCTAGCTTTACTCTTTCTGCTTAGGACTGCTTTGACTATTTAGTCTTACATGCTTTAATATGAATTTTAGTATTTTTGTCTACTTTTGTGAAGAATATCATTGGAATTTTGATGGAAAATTTTTGCATTGATTATGAAGCAAAGATGATATCCTAGTTTGTTTCTTCATTGCTGTGAAAAAACACTCTGACCAATACCAACGTGGGGAGGAAAGGGTTTATTTAGCTTGTATCTCCCAGGTCACAGTTCACCCCAGAGCCCAAGGTAGGAACTCAGGGCAGGAACCTAGATGCAGGAGCTGGAGCATAGGCCATGGAGGAATGCTGCTTACTGGCTTGCTCCCCTGGCCTGTGTTCAACCTGCTTTCTTATACAACTTAGGCCCAGCTGCCCAGGGGTGGCATCACCCACAGTGGGCTGGGTCCTCCCACATCATTCAACAACAATCAAGAAAATGCCCCACAGACATGGTCACAGGCCAGTCCAATGGAGGCAATTT